CCGGGTTTTCTCAAATCGCAATTATAAACAGAATGGTCTTCGACAAAACAGTCGGCGATTAGTGACAAAAAAGATCAAAGATCATTATCCCTGCCTTGAAGATCGAGGCATTAAGAATTGCATAAAACTATAATATAATAGGAAATTTTAGTTTCTAAATTCAAAATCCATTTACTTAATTTTTTTTAATTAAAAACTCATTTGCTAAATTTATTCAGGAATTTAGATTAATTTTTACAAATGTGAAGGAATAAAGGACTAAGAGCTGTAACAGGGTATTAGTGTATAAATATTTTATTCTAAATTTATTGCGAAAAGATATCACGTCAGCCGTGGTCGAATTGGTTGAGACGCCCGCCTAGCCGAGAGGGAGGTCCAGGTTCAAACCCTGGCTGAGGTGATATTTTGTCGCAATAAATTTAGAATAAAATATTTCGACACTGACACCCTGTCACGGCTCTTAGTCCTTTATTGCTTCACATTTGTGTTTATCATATTTGAGCTATAGGAATTTTATTCATTTGTTACTTAACTTTATTTGTGTTTTAATAAAAACGACTGGTTAAAAATGTTAATTTTTGCATATAAAGGTATAGCGCTTGTGTTCTATTCAAATTAATGACAATAAGTTAAGGCCAAGGTTGACAAGCTTTTTAGTTGACTTATAAGGACGAAGTTTGACCACGATTCTTTTAGATTTGGACTTACTATATTTTAAATGCGGATTATATCTGAGAATTATTGTTAATTATTTATTAAAAGTTTATATAATATTATTATATCATTTTTAACAACCATTCATGTAACTAATTAATTCAATGTATATTCGAAACGTATATTTAGTAATAAACGCTGATGAAAGCACCGTGTGCTGAAACGCGTCCGCAAAATCGGAGTGTAATGTAACTACATACTCTTTAGTTAAATAATTTTAATAACCAGTCAACTAAAAAGCTTAACTTATTGTCATTATGTTAATGTTTGCATTATTTAAAAGTTCCTCTATTAAAGAATGTATTTCCAAGGGTTTACTTCGAACTTCGAAAAAATAACAAGATTAGAAAAGTTTTCTCTTTGAGAAAACTTTGAAAAAGCTTTAGGTTACTCAAACGTACATCTCAGTAGGTGGCATTCCTTAGAGTTGCGTTCAGATTCTACACCCGGGTGCACCCACACGGAAAGAAAAATGTAGTTGCCGTAGCTAAAAACTGCTTGTGGCAACTAAATTTCAATTGTAAAATATGGACAGCTAATATTTAGTTGTGATAGCTAAATATTTTGCTACTGTGCCTATTGTATTAGATGCGATAGCAAACCGTTTGCTGTGGTTTAGAAATTTATAGTTATGGCAGCAAAATATTTCAAGCAAACCATGATTAGCTATGGTAACGAAATTTTTCTTTTCAGTGCTTTTCAGCTCTTTGCAAAGAGCATTCAGATTTCTTTTAGGGCACACACTGAAAAAAATGTCTGGTTGAATATGGCCGAACCAGATAATTCCTGTAGGATTTACCAGAATTCCTGTAGGATTTACCAGAATTCCTGTAATCCTACAGAAATTCTGGTAAATCCTACAGGAATTATCTGGTTCGGCCATATTCAACCAGAAATTTTTTTCAGTGCACCTACCGGATACTAGGTGAGTCGTTCACATTGTTGCTCTATCTACCCGCGAGGGTGGAAAAACCATCCGGCTCAAGAAGCCGGGTGGAACAGGTTGGGAAATGACGCAGAGCCGACACGGCCACGTCGAATCAGTATTATACCGGTAATAAGAGAGAGATAGAGTGCGTCGAGTGCGTACAGATTCCCTAAGCCACTGAGGAGCTTTTCCGTTGGATCCGCCCACTCACTCAGTCACCCAATGATCATCCACCCGGTGGTGAATCTGAACGCAGCCTCTGATAGGAACAACTGACAAAGGACTTTACGACTTGTGTCCCATTAATCAAATAAAGCTCTCTGTGTAATGCGAATGAAACATCGTCGAATTATCAACAATCCTTTTTCGCAATTTTGACACGGCCATGATCGATTGCATTTCTAACATCGAAGCCTGCGAGCACGTTTATTTGTCTCCGTATATTGCGATAGTCACACGTTGAGTTCTAAATAGTCGATTGTTGCATTAACACGCGAAAATTCGCCGCTTGAACGAACTGATCTTTTCACGCCCAACATTGATCCGATTGCTTATCTAATCCGCGTTTTCCCGCCTGACGCGAGCTCCAACAGAAATTAAAATTGCAAACGAGATAAAACGGTTATTAACATTAGCTTGGATTAGCTAGATTTTCCTGTTAGATACGGGGACAGATGCGCATTGGACGGAACGGTACAAGCCGTATCTTCCATTATTTTAGGAACAATATGTTACCCTGCGAAAATAACGTGAAACTCTGTTGCAACTTTTGCCATACTGACCGGTTTCTGAAGAATACATTTGAAATGTGTAAAGAATAAAAATTGTACGGGGTAAAAGTAAAAATGAGAGTTTATAATATTTATAAAAATAATTAAAATAATTACATATTATGAACTAGATTATAAATGACATAATACGATACTTATTCTGATTACTCGATCGCTTTAGGAGCATGATTAACGATTTGCGTCATTCAATAAGACTCTCCCGCTTTTTCGTTCGCGTAAGTACGTAATTTATTTTGACCCGCTTGAAGATGAGTGATACTGACGAAGCGGGATCCGAGATTCTCCAATTGAGCGTACGAGACGCAATGATATTATCTTTGCAGTGACTCAGTTTTTTCCTTCTTACGCTATCTGATGTAATCAGAGTTGTTACGTATGAGATTGAAGGATTCTACAACAATGGCATATAATTAGTTGCATTTTTAACGAGATGCAATCTCAATAGAAAAAGGTTCGGTGTAATAGCAGAATTTTGTTATCTTAGTTCACCTTTGTATTTTCACTTTATATTTCGTGGATCTTGACTATTTTAGATCTTTCACGATATATTCTTCTATGGAAAACGTCGATAAAAAAAGAAAAAATATAAATTCCTGTCAAGTTAATTTACTGTTTAGTTTGCTATCTAAAAATATATATACATATATAACATATTATATATATACAATATCTTATAAATAATATATTTTTATTTTAGGAGCGTCTTTTCTTGGTCTCGTATACATAAATAAAAAACAACATCAGTGATTTTTATTGACCGTATCTGGCAATTTTAATAATACAGAAAAATTGCGAAAAATATTACCTCACCCAGGGTTTAAACCTGGACATCCCTTCACTTTAAAAAAAAAAGGCACATACCATAAATATAAAGATATGCCTCGGTGGTCGAATTGGTTGAGACGTTTTCGACTTAGTCTAGTCCACTCTATCCCACAATAAGCGTTGATGCGGGTATTACATAACACCCTGTATATAGTCGACCGTCCCTGGTTTTGTCTTTATGCGTACTTTAATCGTGTGGAAGAACTTTTGCAATTTTATAAAGCCAATTTCAAATTTAGTTAGAACTACGAATTGAAACTTTCAAATACCAATATCTTTTTTATTAGACTTCTGAACTGAGTGTTTTAAGTATGAAAGTGTTCCGCTATGCGGTCCGCAACTTATCCTGCTATTATTTTGTGCATAAGAGCTAATAAAACGAATTACAAGCGCAAAAACTACATTTGACTGTGTCGGTAAAAAAGATGGCTAAAGGATCCTCTTAAATTTATCATAAGAAATATTACCAGCCAGGGTTTGAACCTTTCCATTAAAAATTAAAAAGAATAAGGTGCCGCTTAAATTTCTTCCAATTTCAACTAACATTCCACAAAACGGTTTTTAGAGAATGTAAATGTGAAAGTGTAGATAGAGAGAGAGAGAGCGAGGGTAAAGAATAGAAGGCAGATTAAGAATAATACATTTTTTTCTTTTGCACTTGTAAAGAATAAACCGAGTCGCTGTAAATTACGAGAGATCTCAAATTCCAAGCAGCATCTCAGGATAAAATGTTATTCTTCAAAATGCTATTTCTACAATCTTTCTACAGGGTGTCGGATTCGATTTGGACCATTCCAAAGATTATAGTAGATTGGGTCAAACTGAGAAGAAAAGTTATATACCATTTTACAAAATCCGTAATTATTATCGCGTAACTAAGAAAAACGTCTGAGCCAATAAGTGGACGGAGGAGCGGAAGGCCGGACTCGGCAGACATGCAAAATGGTGTATTTTTTAACATGTCTCAGGATCCGATCGAGAGAGGTGGAGTCACGCATCGATCGATGAGGACGGCATGGAGCGGGGAGCGGGAAGCAGCGAACGGCGAGTGACGCGCGGATAGCTCTCGCTATCGGATCTTGAGACATGTCAACAGATACACCATTTTGCATGTCTGCCGAGTCCGGCCTTCCGCTCCTCCGTGCACTTATTGGCTCAGACGTTTTTCTTAATTACGCGATAATAATTACGGATTTTGTAAAATGGTATATAACTTTTCTTCTCAGTTTGACCCAATCTACTATAATCTTTGGAATGGTCCAAATCGAATCCGACACCCTGTATATACAATACCTAATCTTCCTACGCGCATATTTTCTTTCCTCTTTTACAACTTGGTGGAAGAATTTATCTTTTCTGAACAAATGTGTCCGTCCGAGTCCATCCCGAGTTTTTTCTTAAAAGGTTTTTTTCGCTTCGAAGGAGGCAGCGAAAGTTTCGCAAAAGCCATTGTAACGCAAGGCTCATTTCCTCCGGAGGCTTAAAAAGGGAAAAGGGATTAGAGACTACTCCCACTTGTTTGTCGCAGGCCCCACCACATTAACCATTCCCACGCCCATAACGCATTCAATTTTCGCGCTGCCCGGCGCAACTTTTGCCGCGCTGCGCCCCGATTGGCCGAGCGGCCGACGCGGCTGGCTCGTACGCCAATCGGGGGCCCGTTTCGCCCACTCGGTCGAACGCCCGTCGACCCGGCGTTATCGGAGCAGCGAGAATTACAAGAAGTCGAGAACAGCCGGTCGATTACACAAGTGTCGGGTATAACCAGACCAGTGTACGTCGTGCTCACGCGAGGACGAACTTAACCTCGCTCGCGCGCGCGCGCTCTCTCTCTCTCTCTGCCTTCGGCGTGTCCATCACGGTGTGTCGCGCCGGCGAAGATTGCTCGTCAGAGTTGCTCCGTGTGCACCGTCCTCTCCGACGTCATCGTCAGACCGGCGTGAGAAGAGAACGCAGGCGCGTTTCGCTGCCCGGCGCATTTCGGCGTCCGAACGGAACGAGAGGCGCCCAGAGGAGCGGCAGCGGACCGCGCGCGCACGCCAAGGGACACAGTCGGCGTTATCGCGCCAAACAAGCCCGTCATCGACGTCGCCGTCGCCATCCGAGGAGCGTCGCGAAGCCGCGGTTTCCCGTTTTCGCGTTCCCCGTTCGCGCGCACCACGTGCCACGAGCGCGCGATGAGCCACAGCAGCGAGAACAGAGGGCGGAATGGCCACGTGCTCGTGTGGGACCAGACCGGCCTCGAGGAGGACGAGCGGGAAAGAAAAAGGAAAAGAGGTACGTGCGCCACGCGGTCGCGACGCGCCGGGATTATCGAAACGGAGCGAGGGAGCTCCTCCCCCCCTCCCCCCCCCTCCCCGCCCCCCCGGCATTCCCGTCGCCGTGCGAGTCGGCTCTTTCGGACGCGGGCTTCGCCGTTGACATCAATCCGCGTAAAAATAGCCGACGCGACAGGCGCGCCCACGAATTCGAGCCGAGGGTACGGGGGAGAGATTCGCGGATTCCCTACCCCCCCCCCCCACCCACCCGTGAAACGTCCGTCGTGCCCCCGGGGCGAGTGTCGCGCCGAACGACAGGATAGGTTCGAAACGGACGAGCGATTTCGGCGCGCGCGAGATCGGCGTCGTCGTCGCGAGCGAGTGCGTTCGCGATTCTCGCGAAATCCGCCGTAATCCGAGACGAGAGGTACGTACGCGCGGCGTTCGTCCCGACAGCGGCAGACCACGTGTTCGGCTGTGCGAGACGCGCGCGTCCCTGCTCTCTCTCTCCCCCCCCCCTCTCTCTCTCTCTCTCTCTCTCTTTCTGGATTTCCCGTGTCGTTCGAACACGATCGTACTGCATCGGAACTCCCTTCGACATGTAACAAACTTCGATTACTCGATCGACGATTTATTCAATCGATAGCAACATTTCGAATTGTATTGGACACAATTTGTCGTCCACTCTTTTCTTCCATACGTTAAGACAGTTTTATTTCGTAAAATCATTTATGTGAGAGTAGTTTTCAATTTCTACAGTTTATTCTTTACATTATTACGTGCAGAATAAGACTAATTAAATTAAAATTGACCGTCTCAAAGTTCTTAAAAAAAACATGTTAAACACAAATTTCAAAGAATTTAAAGGACTCAGAGCCGTGACAGGATGGTAGTGTCTAAATATTCTATTCTAAGTTTATTGCGAAAAAATATCACCTCGACTAGGGTTTGAACCCTGGACCTCCATGGTCCTGGGCCAAAAATGTTAAAGTTTGCTATGTTACACAAAGTATTACGTGTGAAACACGTTAAAAATATTATCAACGTAACAATATAATTCGTTGTAATATTGTTACACGTGAAATATTATTTACACATATTATTATGCGTTAAAATATTAATATTTGCGTTTGCAAATGCAAATGGTACATTTTTTTAAGCACAGTGAGTGAGATTCGTATGAGAAACAGATATGTTATAAAGTAAAATGGAATGAATAACTGGAACAAAAATCAAAATTATTGACCGTTCCGTTTCGACAATATAAACAGTTAAAACTGAAAAATGGGAAGAATTATGCAGTAGACACGAGTGTAGTGTAAGAGACGTGGCAACAGCGTCTCAAACTACAATCTTTCGAATCTATTTTATATTATGTATCAATCGTGAGTGCATTCTTTCGAAGAATATTGCATCGAGATATATCATTGTAATAATTGCGTGCTGGTTCCTGCCTGGAAGAAACTTTTGAGCATTACTGTCGCGAAACACTTTCTGCGTATTCATTTATTATGCATAATGATCATAGATTAGAATTAGCTTTGTTGTTAGGGTTACAATCTCTTACAACCTTACTTATGCCTAAACTTATTCTTACTTATTCTAACTTAATCTAACTTATTCTACCTATCTTACATTTTCTTACATTTTTTACATTTTGACATTTTAACACGCACACACACACACACACACACACACACACACACCTCTCTCTCGAATTCCACTTCCTCTCGTTTTATTTTCATTTTTCTTCGGTCTTAAATAATGATTAAAAGATTATTTATTCTAGTCATGTCGGCAGAGTTATTTAAAGCAACATTTCTGGCTATGATTCATTGTTCCTAATCTAATCTTCTGTGAAATGACAGAGAATTAATTGGTCTATTTGTGTTTTATCTGGCATAGTTGCTTCATCTCTGCTCAATCTCTGACTATAAAATTCGATTGTCTCGAATCTAATCTTTTTCTGTTTGCGTCGGAGAACAGAACAGTTCTACGTGTATAGACAAACGTGACGAAACACCAAGGGCTAAAGATTACGAAGACACTAAGAAATTTACACGGATAAAATTTTCTCCGAGATTTTTTCTTACAATTTATCTTGAAAATCATGTAATCGTGGGCCAACGTGGCATTTTGAGAAATTTTATGAGAATTTTTGAAATTTTACCACCCATTTTACTAGTATAATTATACTTTGTATACATTTTATTGGTAAAATGTATGGTAAAATTTCACAAAGCTTATAAAGTTCTTCAAAATGCCACGTTGTCTCACGATTACATGATTTTCAAGGTAAATTTTGAAAGAAGTAAAAGTTTATCGTGTTGACGCATAAAAACCAACTGTACTGCCACGAGTCTCCTTCAGTGAAGCATTAAAAACGAATTGCAAATTAATCCTATCACTGAAACACAATATAACAAATATACGAATTTACGGCGTTGGACAGACGTGAAAAATAAGTGAAAAAAAATCACTGGTTAAAAGCACGAATCTAAAGATAGGAATTACGAGAGGATTCCTTTTGTCTCGGCAAGATAATACGCTAGTGCTATTTCCGATTATCAAGTTAATCGGGATTTGCTCCGCCCTAAAAAGTGGATATTTCCACTTTGTGATTTTGCTCTTTGTAACTCTCGTTGCTTATCTGTAAAGGTAGATTTAATTTCGTGTTTAATAAAGCGCTTCTCGGCATGCTGGAACGCGTGCAATCAAAGGTATATCTTGAAAAGGAAATCCTGCCTGAAATTATCTTTTAAATCGATGTATTTTAATTATATCGACTTGGTGTTTAACTCGTATGCGTTAATTTAGCCCGTTAAACCGTGTTCGTTTTACAAGTTTAATACCTCGCGAGCCTCTCGACTTATTTCATTCTAAATCGGAAAGTGTCTTTCCGAGAACGTTTCACGTACGGCGTTGCGTCTTTTCATTTTGCAAGGACGCCAAATCGCGCCGGCTCAGGGCGCCCGCGCGTCTCGCGACGATACTGTTTCACGGAGACCGCTCGGTTCCTCGTAATGTTTACGCAATTGTAAACGCATGACGATCAGCTGCTTGTCGATTTCCGCGAGTCTGAAAAAGCTCTCATCTTACTTCTCGTTACCTGCTTATTTCGCGAATTTTATCGCACGCGTCGGAGCGAAACTGTAAATATTTAAGTAACCGCCTCGCTATTTAAATTCAAAGCGCGTGTTTTTTCAATTTGTATCTAACTTCAGTGTCGCATCGCCCGTGACGCAGTTGAAAGTCCCGCGATCTTTGCGCGTGTTTGTTACAGTCAAATTTCGGGATTATATCGCAGTTTTTTTTTTACATGAACGCGGACCCTCTGCGATCCAAACTGTTTCTTACGAATAAAGATCAACTACTTCGTCTTTAAATTCGTACAAACAGCTGGTCAGTTCATAAAAAGGAAAGTTTTACACGGAAAAAACTGCTGTTGAATTAAACAAAATGTAGTTGCTTGAATTAAACGTTGACGTCACGGGCTGCCACAAACATAAATAATTCGCTCAATTGTATCTACTATGGACTTGAATTTTAAGCATTGAACTAAATATCCAGATTATTAAGACAATCTGATGTTGGATGTTTATTAATACTGAGGTTTGTCTCAGCGATTTTATTTCACTGATCTTGCTGGTGCAACGTCATTTTTTTCCGTGTAGGAATTTGTGACGATCCCATGAATTTTTTTCCGGTAATTTATCGCATCCGGATTATTGAATTCAATTCGGTAAAATGACAAAGGACTATTATATAGACATTTTCTTTACTTCCGTCCTCTCCGAGACATAAGCAAAATATCTCACACGTACGTGACTGGGCCTTAACGGTCGCTCATTGTCCTGCAATTCGTTTCGCGTCTCAAGGGATCCGTATTCACTTTTGTCCTTCCCAGCTTGACTGAAAGGGATTAACCCTTTAAGGAAAATAAGCCATTTTACACAGAACAATGCCGTAACTGGATACAAGTCCTCGTCCACTTCTCCGACAAAAACGACTCTTTGTATTTTCTTTCGCCAGAATAGGAAACCCGATTTGTTTTCGGGGTTGCGTGCCCAGTGGAAATTCCTGCGAATGTGTACAATGCCCGTGACGAATCGTAGAAAAGCAGTTGACTTTTCCTTTACCTTAGACTAATCGATAATGAAGCAGTTTTACAGCCGTGGGGAAAACCCAGCTGGGGGCATTGTGGTGTAGAGATTTGCGCCATTACTGGGCATCACTAGGGATTACTAGAGTCCCTGTAGTAAGAGTCTGGCAAGAAATATTCTCCGTTTGATTGGTTTGACGCAAAATGGCGGAACCAATAAGGTGTCTCGAATCGTACTCTGAACGCGGGATTATTATTATTATTATTATTATTATTATTATTATTTAGTTACCTTTGGTTTGTTCGTTATCGCTGCATTACTGCACTAGTGCAATTAACTAACTGCACTAGTGCAGTAATGCAGCGATAACGAACAGACCAGACGCCATTTTGCGTCAACCCTTGCCAGACTCTTACTACAGGGACTCTATGGATTACTAGCTATTTTTTGGGCATTAGTTTGGGCATTAGGCCTTGCTGGGGCATTATAAAGATTAAATAAATAAGATAATATTATCTTAAGATAATAAAGTAACGCCCGCTAGGCATTAGTGGGCATTAGTGTAGATTTTGGTCAGCGGTTTCCTCCTCGTTTACAACAATACAATATATGTCGAAAGAATTGTACGTTGGCTCTATTCTGAAAATAACTCGCAGAAATATACAGTACCGGCCAAAAGTATGTCGCCTTTGGGTTCCCGAGCATAACGTTCGTCAAAGTGCATCGAATGTGCTCAAAATTTTACAGTAGACACCCGACAACGGGCGCATCTTGTACCTGAAGGATAATGAAATTTGGACAAAGTACACCATGATTCTCGAAATTTTTATTCGTGCACCTTAAAACTATAGTTATGCTCAAAAAATTACAATACATGCTTACTGTATTGAATGCTAAATGTAGCATTTAAAATGAT